ACGCCAATCTCGGAGTAACGATGTGCGATGTGTCAAACTTGATGAAATTTTCGCGCGAGATCCAATCGATCGGAGCCGCCCGCGTATCGGGTACGTGCGGGGGGCTTTCAAGCGATGGGATTGGGAGATTCCAGTCCGGTTTTTCGCCGTCGCTGAAATCGTGGCGCGTGCTGAACAAATTGTTATCCATGAACGCTCCGATTGGGTGGTGTGCTGGCTCAGGTGACGGCGTGCGCACGCGGGGACAACGCGATCCGCTTGTCATCGTCATGTTGCCCATGACGTTGCGGACGGGGGCAATCTATGACGGCTGCTGCTGCTGATGCTGAACCGCTGGGTTCAGGTTGCGCGATGGGGGTTGGTGCCCCTGAGCTTGACGCGTGTCATTTCGTGCGTCTTGGCGAGGGCAAGATCGGAACTTGCATCGATCTGCCAGGTGCCCAAAGTTTCTACAAATCTTGCAGTAAAGGCGCCGCGGCTGTCGCTCTTATGTGTTGTCGGCGTAGAAGGCGAGGTGTTCCCAGTCTCGTTGCGGCGCTGGTCGCTGCTGATCCATATCCCTTTGTTTGACGAGAAGGGCGGCGCATAGGGCGGCCTCCGAGATGACCCCCTGCTGTAGGAGAAGCACCTTACAGGATCGCCACTCTGGGCCAAGCCATTGAAGCACGATATTGACAAAAAAATCTTTGGAAATACTACTCCCCAACTTCGCGATTTGATCGCGTAAGCTTTGACAGCGATTAATGTAGTTGTTGGCCTTCTCCCCTTGGGCCATCTTTGTCTCCATTAGCTGCTGGAGCAGGCAGCTCGATGAAACCGAATCTTTCGGTTGGTACACATCGTTCAGGTGGCGCCAAGCATCGAGGGCTGGAGCAGGTGATGTCTTGTATGATCGGATTCTCAACTGCTCCGCCGGCGACATGTTCCGCAGGAGAACGCCGTTCGCCATCAACGACTCGTTGTAGTACCGCACCCTGGCATCGGCTGTATCTTCAGCAGGTCCCGAGTAGCTCCCGTCAAGGTAATGGAATATCAGCGCATTTCGCAGCAGCAGCTCCAGCTCGAAGCTCTACGCATAGAAGTCTCTGTCGTCAAAGCGCATACTTGTCTTTATTTTTGATATGCTCAAAAACCTTGATTGCGAGAGAGAATTGCTTCTTCGCTGGGACGGGGGGTCTTGGGAGTTGAGCCATTTGTGTCAAGGGAGAAGGTATGCGGGGCGGCATTGTGGCCAGTTGAGGCCGGTTGAGAGGGTTGGGAAGAAGTTTCCGCGTCGCCATTTCGCAATGTTTGGAATCCTTGCTCCAAGCTGGTGAGTCACTGAAACAGTTGTGCAAGAGCGCAGGCTCCAATCGTCGTTGTTTCCTTACTTGTCGGAGCCGGATTGGGCTGCGCTTCGTATCCCGAGTTTGAATCTGGGTTTGCTATTTGTATCCTCATTCTTGCTAGTTCAACCCCTCTTCTCTCTGACCACCAGATCCTCCGGCCATTCTTACACGCGAGCGTGTGCCGGACGCCACTTTCCGCTCGCCAAAGACTTTGGAGGTGGCAGTGCAAAGGATTCCCGAGTCTCTCTCATACCATGCTGCAATCAAAAGTTGATCGTCCCTAGGATCACCTCAGGAAGGTTCGCACACAACCGATTGTAGTTGTGGGCCCTTGATCTCAATTCAGAGTGGATGTAAAAAGGTTGAGATGGTTAATACATGCAAATACAAAGATAGAAATAAGAGTACAGGATGGAATACGAAACGCCCTGGCTAGCCATGTACTCTAAGGGGTACATTCCCTTATTGCAGCAAAATCCAACCGTGCGACTCCAGACGGTTACGAAACTGTCAGGGCAAAATCCTTGCCACTGCTGCCGTCTGATGCCATCTGCCTTGACGGTCCATATGCTTCGTAACTGCATGACCCTTCGCATCACTTCTGCCTTTCCGTCTTTAGCCTGGGTACTGCATTCTCCGGTGGTTAGAAGTGCACAATTCCTTTCTCTTTTCACTATTTGTAACATCGGAAACGGTAACACGCTCACAAAAATGCGCCCTTCATATTTGATGCCGAGGTTAGGAAAAGTTGAGGCGTAGGGCAGGGTCGCGGGTTACCAGCCGAGCCAGGTGGTTCGGGCGCGATAGTCGTGTTGGTGGTTCGAGGCGAGTGTCGCGAGATGGTAATGGGCTACTATTATAGTGGCCGAAACAGTGTCGAGGCGAGTGTCGCGAGACAGTAACTGGCTACTGTTGCGTATACATTGGCGGGAAAAGTCGTGTCAGGAAAAGTTGTTTCTTACACTAGCATTAAATTTACAAAAACACTACTAGGGGGGAATGTGGCTCGTCATCAGGGCTGTCGCTTGCTCTAGGCTCAGGACTTAACGGGCTGAGGTGCCCTGAATTCAGCCCTTATTTATCCGGGTTGAGTCAGATATCAACACTTAGATCCAGGGCTACAGCTCCTTCTGCACTTGAGCGTAAACACATCGTGACTGTAGATGATGTTCAAATACACGTAAGGGCTGCGGTTCATAGCATATCAATAAGCTGATCTACTATGCAACGGGTGGGGGAGAAAGTATGGAGGTCCTACGTAAGCAGGGGAGACATATCAAGGGAAACGAGGGCGGTCAATTTGAAATGCGATACAATTTTCGCAGTGCGTGTTTGCGAATGCGATCTTTTCGGGCAGAACCATGCGGCTGCCCGTGTTTAGGGTTGGGGCTCCCCTTACCGCATGCCATCCAGATGGGGTTTATTTTTTTCTGACCGCGGGCAGATAACGACCCCTCAGCTTCTTCCACTGGGGATCGCATTTGCAAACCGCGCTGGCCTAATTGGATTGTAGCTGAAGTTGTCCCAAACGAGGGGGTAGGATGGTAGGTGGGGCTCTGAGCGTATACGTGAAATCCGGGTTAGGCGCTAAACCAGCTTGTAAGGAAAACGGGCTGGCCCCAAAGTCAGCCCTTGAATTCACTGAGTTGTGCCCGAAACAGCACGTGAATTCAAGGGTAAAAAGGGCAAATGCCCTTGTAGCGACAGGCCTGCTTATCAATATGACAAGTGAACCGTACGGTAATTCATTGACAACTTCTACCACTCGTTTTTCTTCCGAGGCAGCTGCCGACCTAGTTTCGTCCTAGCAGCCGCGATTCGTCCTAGCAGCCGCGATTTGTCCTCGTCCTAGCAGCCGCGATTCGTCCTAGCAGCCGCGATTCGTCCTAGCAGCCGTGTTTCGTCCTAGTAGCTGCGTTTCGTCCTGGCAGCCGCGTTTCGTCCTAGCAGCTGCGCCGATCATAGACCCAGGACGAATCCGTTTAACCCGCTAGCAGCATGCTCGATCTGCCCGTAGCAGCAGAGATCCGCTAGCAGCAGGCGCGTTTTGCCCATAGCAGCAGCGACCCGCTAGCAGCAGGTGAGTTTTGCCCGTAACAGCAGCGACCCACTAGCAGCAAGCAAGATTTGCTGGTAGCAGCAGCGATACGCTGGCAGCAGGCACGATCTGCCTGTAGCAGCAAAGATCCGCTAGCAGCAGGCGAGATTTGCCCGTAGCAGCAGAGATTCGCTAGCAGCAGGCGCGATTTGCCCATAGCAGCAGCGATCCGCTAGCAGCAGGCGCGATTTACGCATAGCAGCAGCGATACGCTTGCAGCAGGCACGATCTGCCCGTAGCAGCAGCAATCCGCTAGCAGCAGGCGCGATTTGCCCGTAGTAGCAGCGATCCGCTAGCAGCAGGCGCGGTTTGCCCGTAGCAGCAACGATCCGCTAGCAGTAGGCACGATTTGCCCGTAGCAGTAGCGATCCGCTAGCAGCAGTAGGCACGATTTGCCCGTAGCAGTAGCGATCCCATAGTAGCGAGATATCCGCTAGGAGCAGTGAGAACTGCTAGCAGCAGTGAGAAATCCGCCGCTACCGAGAGAGTCGTTCGTAGGAGCGCGAAGTTCATAGGTGTAAGCGAGATCTGCCCATAGCAGCTTGAAATCCGTCAGCAGCAGCGAGACTCGTCTGTAGTAGCTGGAAATCCGTTGGCATTTAGCACGATGTCGGCCCATACCAGCGCAGGCCCCAAGTATCTGTGGAAAACTCGCTAGTAAGCGCGTGAACCGCCCGTAGCAGTAGGAAGCCCGCCCAAAGCAGCGCAGGCAGCGAGTAGCAACAAGAAACTTGCTAGTAGCAGTAGGAAGCCCGCCCACAACAGTGCAGGCTGCCAGTAGCAATGGAAAACCCGCTAGTAGCAGTGTGAACCGACAGTAGGCTGGAGGAAACTCGCCCACAGCAGCGCAAACATCGAGTAGCAGTCAGAAACGATGTTAGTAGCAGTGTGAACCGCCATCCACTTTGAGCCATGGACGACGACCCAGACCTCGGTGACCCCGTGGTCAGGGAGAGGGGAGGACCTGACAGTGGGAAGACAGGGGCCAATACGAGCGAAGGGGGGGAATGTACGGCAGCACCCACGGAGACAACCCGCCAAGTGGCTGCCCATAAACGACGTGGAGGAGCTGCACGGTCCATACATCCGTCGCATGCACAAGGAAGATGCTCTATGCCTCTTCGGCAAACCAGCCAAGAGGCCATGCCATGAACTTAACAATGCGGAGGCTGTACAGCCGATTCAGGACCCTCACAGCAACCAGGCTAGCCGGAGCAGCAGCCCCGACCAGTCAGCCGACAACGGTGGGGGGGTGACCCCAATCAACGAGGAGGGACAAAAAAACACGATGAGAGAGTTGCCGAACGAGGCACCCGAGGAAGCAAGGGCACTATGGGAGGCCCACCGTAGGCGCTTGCAGCTGCAGCGCGTCCACCGTAGCCGTAACCTCGCGGAAACGACCATACAGTGAAGCGTCGGAAGTCCTGTCTTACCTCCCGTAGACGCGGACACCTCGCTGACAGGGCCTCGGTTGGCTCAACGGCAAGAGCGGAGGCTCCGCAAAAGAGGGGAAAGAGGAGGGCAGCAAGGGTGGTTTATAAGGGGCCAGCAAGGGCTGCAGGTTGGAGGGCAGCATGGGCTGTTGGCGAGGGGGCAACAAGAGCTGCAAGATGGAGGGCAGCAGCTGCCGCATAGTGGCGGGCAAGTGCAGCTACAGAGCGACGGCTGCCAGCGTGGGGGCGATATCAGGAGAAAGGGCAGCAGTGGTCGCTGCTCCTTACGGGGTTGCGGCTGAAGTTAGGGACAGGGCTTTAGCACGGCCAGCAGGGGCAGTAGAGGCCACAGCAGGGGCAGAGGAGTCTGCTGCCAGGGCGGCAGAGACCGCAGACGGAGTGGCGCGGGCTGCAGGAGAGGCTGGCAACGATGGGGACGCAGCAGCCCCACCACAGGCCCATAACGAGGTCCTCCCTGCCCTCCCCAAGCCCACCCCCATGCAGGCAGGAGCTTTAATAGAGGGGCAGGAGGAAACAGCGAGGACAGGGAATCCGGAAAGTGCATCCATCCACACCCCGCATCTTTTAACCCACTCCCCATCGGGAGCACCCACCCTTTGCCCCCACCCTCACAGGTATTCTCGCAAATAAAGTGGGGCAGCCAAGGCCCGGGCTTTCCTAGAGGAGCCCTGCTCCTCGACTATCAACTCCTAGCCACCACTACCTCTCCTTCTACCAGGTTCGCCATCACCGGCAGATGTGCACATGTCCGAGGCGCTTGCTTCAGTCGCATCAACCCCCGGACCAAACCCCCGCCCCGTACGCTACACAATTCCATAGCGCCGGATACCAACACCTCATCCCAGTGCTAGGAACTCGCCCCTCTCCTACCATCCCCCACCACTATCATCATCACCACCCTCGCAACCCCAGGCACTCCATAGTCACCACCGCCCTCCCCCAGCCCATCGACCCCTGCTTGCTCCCGCGCAGGCCCACCCACCATCCCACAACCAGCAACGTTTGGCATCTACCATGCCAGCGGCTCCCGCCACCTCGGGAGGTCCCACGGGTGGATGGAGGTCTCATGTCGAGCCGCCACGCCATGCCAACATTCCCCCGCTTCCCCTCCTTCCAGGCCCCACTCTGACCCCCCTCCCACAATAACCAGCCAAAACTCCCCAAGCCAACGCAGGTCGACGACGGAGGGGAAGAGCCAGAGGCGGGGAGGGCTTAAGTTCCACACCCCCACCTCTGTTTTCTGCCCCACCTGCAGCTCTACTTCCCGCCCCCTCTGCCCAACTTGCTCCAAGAGACCCTCACATGGGCTCATCACCCATCCTTCGCCCCCCTCATGAACCCTCGCCTTTGCATGCACACGGTGGAGGTTCTACCGGCGCAATCCTTCCCCACCAACATCTGGTTGCCGCTCAGGATGACGCCCTCCCCACTAGGATGGTTCATCACAAAAATGTGTGTGTTTGAAAATCATCTGACGTTCCCGCAGGTCGATCGTATGTTTGACAATTGTTTGAAAAACGTACAGGAAACCTACAAAAATCGTTTGTCCCTCTTGAGACGTTTTGGAGGCACTATTCATATGTTTCCGCTCAATGTGCGGTGCCTGTTGCTGCAGCATTAGGGTTTCGCGACTAAGAGGGGTTGGAGCTGGTCTCCTCGCTTGGAAGATTTGTGCTGTAAACCTATTCTCGATATAAATGTCACATTTTTACTTCTGTGCATTGTTTGTTACAGCAAAACTTATGAATATTATTTCTTGAATTTGTAAATCCCATTAAGGACATGGCTTTCCAAGTGTCATATTTAACCAATGGGTATTGATTTTGCACCTATTATATTAAAGAAATGCCTAAAAATATCAATATTCTAGGTTCAAAATCAACGTTTACCACAGTCACATTGGGTCAGAGGCCTCACCATACAAATCTGTTGAGGAGGCTCACTTCATCGTCCTCGCACGAGGGTACAATGTGCACAAGACTAAGAATGCAGTCTACATCGATCACCGCATAATTATCAACGCCCTCTGTGGGTAAAAGACGCTTGCATCCCGTTGATGGGCATTGTCGCTTGTCTTCGGTGTAGTACTCCACATATGCGCCTCGCCTCAGCTCACCACCCTTGTTGTAATGAAACAGCACAAGGCAACGGCCATACCACGGGGATCCCTTCCCTGCAGGGTTGATCGCAATCGACGAGAAGTTTTGTTGGGCTGGGCTAGCCTTGACGAACTGCCCCCTTGACGTCCATTCCATCTTATCGTGTGGCGGGATCGCAAGTGCCGTGTGTACCTGACACCACGAGCATTCAACAAAGAACAGAAGGGAAAGCAGCGAAAGAGGGGGTGGAGAGCATAAGGGAAATGGGGTATTGGCCAGGGTTTGCATGGACAGCAGTCTGGAGAGGGGGAACCAGGGGTGGATGGGGTGGAAAGCAAGCAGAAGAGGGGGAACAAGGGGCGGATGGGGTGGAAAGCAAGCAGGAGAGGGGGAACCAGGGGCGGATGGGGTGGAAAGCAAGCAGGAAAGGGGGAACCAGGGGCGGATGGGGTGGAAAGCAAGCAGGAATGGGGGAACCAGGGGCGGATGGGGTGGAAAGCAAGCAGGAAAGGGGGAACCAGGGGCGGATGGGGTGGAAAGCAAGCAGGAAAGGGGGAACCACGGGCGGATGGGGTGGAAAGCAAGCAGGAAAGGGGGAACCAGGGGTGAATGGGGTGGAAAGCAAGCAGGAAAGGGGGAACCAGGGGCGGATGGGGTGGAAAGCAAGCAGGAAAGGGGGAACCAGGGGCGGATGGGGTGGAAAGCAAGCAGGAAAGGGGGAACCACGGGTGGATGGGGTGGAAAGCAAGCAGGAAAGGGGGAACCAGGGGTGAATGGGGCGGAAAGCAAGCAGGAAAGGGGGAACCAGGCGTGGATGGGGTGGAAAGCAAGCAGGAAAGGGGGAACCATGGGCGGATGGGGTGGAAAGCAAGCAGGAAAGGGGGAACCACGGGTGGATGGGGTGGAAAGCAAGCAGGAAAGGGGGAACCAGGGGCGGATGGGGTGGAAAGCAAGCAGGAAAGGGGGAACTAGGGGCGGATGGGGTGGAAAGCAAGCAGGAGAAGGGGAACCAGGGGCGGATGGGGTGGAAAGCAAGCAGGAAAGGGGGAACCAGGCGTGGATGGGGTGGAAAGCAAGCTGGAAAGGGGGAACCAGGGGCGGATGGGGTGGAAAGCAAGCAGGAAAGGGGGAACCAGGCGTGGATGGGGTGGAAAGCAAGCAGGAAAGGGGGAACCAGGGGCGGATGGGGTGGAAAGCAAGCAGGAAAGAGGGAACCAGGGGCGGATGGGGTGGAAAGCAAGCAGGAAAGGGGGAACCAGGGGCGGATGGGGTGGAAAGCAAGCAGGAAAGGGGGAACCAGGCGTGGATGGGGTGCAAAGCAAGCAGGAGAGGGGGAACCAGGCGTGGATGGGGTGGAAAGCAAGCAGGAAAGGGGGAACCAGGGGCGGATGGGGTGGAAAGCAAGCAGGAGAGGGGGAACCAGGGGCGGATGGGGTGGAAAGCAAGCAGGAAAGGGGGAACCAGGCGTGGATGGGGTGGAAAGCAAGCATGAAAGGGGGAACCAGGGGCGGATGGGGTGGAAAGCAAGCAGGAAAGGGGGAACCAGGGGCGGATGGGGTGGAAAGCAAGCAGGAAAGGGGGAACCACGGGCAGATGGGGTGGAAAGCAAGCAGGAAAGGGGGAACCAGGGGCGGATGGGGTGGAAAGCAAGCAGGAAAGGGGGAACCAGGCGTGGATGGGGTGGAAAGCAAGCATGAAAGGGGAACCAGGGGCGGATGGGGTGGAAAGCAAGCAGGAAAGGGGGAACCAGGGGCGGATGGGGTGGAAAGCAAGCAGGAAATGGGGAACCAGGGGTGAATGGGGTGGAAAGCAAGCAGGAAAGGGGGAACCAGGCGTGGATGGGGTGGAAAGCAAGCAGGAAAGGGGGAACCATGGGCGGATGGGGTGGAAAGCAAGCAGGAAAGGGGGAACCACGGGTGGATGGGGTGGACAGCAAGCAGGAAAGGGGGAACCAGGGGCGGATGGGGTGGAAAGCAAGCAGGAAAGTGGGAACTAGGGGCGGATGGGGTGGAAAGCAAGCAGGAGAGGGGGAACCAGGGGCGGATGGGGTGGAAAGCAAGCAGGAAAGGGGGAACCAGGCGTGGATGGGGTGGAAAGCAAGCTGGAAAGGGGGAACCAGGGGCGGATGGGGTGGAAAGCAAGCAGGAGAGGGGGAACCAGGCGTGGATGGGGTGGAAAGCAAGCAGGAAAGGGGGAACCAGGGGCGGATGGGGTGGAAAGCAAGCAGGAGAGGGGGAACCAGGGGCGGATGGGGTGGAAAGCAAGCAGGAAAGGGGGAACCAGGCGTGGATGGGGTGGAAAGCAAGCATGAAAGGGGGAACCAGGGGCGGATGGGGTGGAAAGCAAGCAGGAAAGGGGGAACCAGGGGCGGATGGGGTGGAAAGCAAGCAGGAAAGGGGGAACCACGGGCAGATGGGGTGGAAAGCAAGCAGGAAAGGGGGAACCAGGGGCGGATGGGGTGGAAAGCAAGCAGGAAAGGGGGAACCAGGCGTGGATGGGGTGGAAAGCAAGCATGAAAGGGGAACCAGGGGCGGATGGGGTGGAAAGCAAGCAGGAGAGGGGGAACCAGGGGCGGATGGGGTGGAAAGCAAGCAGGAAAGGGGGAACCAGGGGTGAATGGGGTGGCAAGCAAGCAGGAAAGGGGGAACCAGGCGTGGATGGGGTGGAAAGCAAGCTGGAAAGGGGGAACCAGGGGCGGATGGGGTGGAAAGCAAGCAGGAAAGGGGGAACCAGGCGTGGATGGGGTGGAAAGCAAGCAGGAAAGGGGGAACCAGGGGCGGATGGGGTGGAAAGCAAGCAGGAAAGAGGGAACCAGGGGCGGATGGGGTGGAAAGCAAGCAGGAAAGGGGGAACCAGGGGCGGATGGGGAGGAAAGCAAGCAGGAAAGGGGGAACCAGGCGTGGATGGGGTGGAAAGCAAGCAGGAGAGGGGGAACCAGGCGTGGATGGGGTGGAAAGCAAGCAGGAAAGGGGGAACCAGGGGCGGATGGGGTGGAAAGCAAGCAGGAAAGGGGGAACCAGGCGTGGATGGGGTGGAAAGCAAGCAGGAGAGGGGGAACCAGGCGTGGATGGGGTGGAAAGCAAGCAGGAAAGGGGGAACCAGGGGCGGATGGGGTGGAAAGCAAGCAGGAGAGGGGGAACCAGGGGCGGATGGGGTGGAAAGCAAGCAGGAAAGGAGGAACCAGGCGTGGATGGGGTGGAAAGCAAGCATGAAAGGGGGAACCAGGGGCGGATGGGGTGGAAAGCAAGCAGGAAAGGGGGAACCAGGGGCGGATGGGGTGGAAAGCAAGCAGGAAAGGGGGAACCACGGGCAGATGGGGTGGAAAGCAAGCAGGAAAGGGGGAACCAGGGGTGAATGGGGTGGAAAGCAAGCAGGAAAGGGGGAACCAGGCGTGGATGGGGTGGAAAGCAAGCAGGAAAGGGGGAACCATGGGCGGATGGGGTGGAAAGCAAGCAGGAAAGGGGGAACCAGGGGCGGATGGAGTGGAAAGCAAGCAGGAGAGGGGGAACCAGGGGCGGATGGAGTGGAAAGCAAGCAGGAAAGGGGGAACCAGGCGTGGATGGGGTGGAAAGCAAGCATGAAAGGGGGAACCAGGGGCGGATGGGGTGGAAAGCAAGCAGGAAAGGGGGAACCAGGCGTGGATGGGGTGGAAAGCAAGCAGGAAAGGGGGAACCAGGGGCGGATGGGGTGGAAAGCAAGCAGGAAAGGGGGAACCAGGGGTGAATGGGGTGGAAAGCAAGCAGGAAAGGGGGAACCAGGGGCGGATGGGGTGGAAAGCAAGCAGGAAAGGGGGAACCAGGGGCGGATGGGGTGGAAAGCAAGCAGGAGAGGGGGAACCACGGGCGGATGGGGTGGAAAGCAAGCAGGAAAGGGGGAACCAGGGGCGGATGGGGTGGAAAGCAAGCAGGAAAGGGGGAACAAGGGGCGGATGGGGTGGAAAGCAAGCAGGAGAGGGGGAACCACGGGCGGATGGGGTGGAAAGCAAGCAGGAAAGGGGGAACCAGGCGTGGATGGGGTGGAAAGCAAGCATGAAAGGGGAACCAGGGGCGGATGGGGTGGAAAGCAAGCAGGAAAGGGGGAACCAGGGGCGGATGGGGTGGAAAGCAAGCAGGAAAGGGGGAACCAGGGTTGAATGGGGTGGAAAGCAAGCAGGAAAGGGGGAACCAGGGGCGGATGGGGTGGAAAGCAAGCAGGAAAGGGGGAACCAGGGGCGGATGGGGTGGAAAGCAAGCAGGAAAGGGGGAACCAGGGGCGGATGGGGTGGAAAGCAAGCAGGAGGGGGGAGTGCACCTGCAAGACTTGCGTGTTGATGCCCGCCTGTTTGAGGCGCAGAACCATCGCACTCATGGCGGGTTCACCCAGCGTCAAGACGTAGCTCCGGAACACCGAGTCAGTGATGTCTCCAATGACCATCTTCTTGTGGGTCTTAGTAAGCACCCTCCGGCCAGCCAGGCATGCCTGTCACCGTGAAGATGAGAGGGTTTGTATAGGGAGGGGGTGGGGTGAATGGTGTGCGAATTTGGAGGGTGGAGAGAGAGTGGGGGAGGGGATTGATGCGGGGGAGGCGAGGAGAGGGCTAGGGACCAGGGGGAAATGAGGGTGGGGGAACGGGGGCGAGTTTGTGGGGACGAAGACGGGGATGGAGGGTAGGAGTCGGTTATTTTGGTTAGGTTGGTCCAGCATCTGATTGCCAACTCATGCAGAGAGCATGGAAACAGATATTGGGGAACAGAGCAGTGGAACATAGCAGGGAAACAGTAGGGAACACAGGAGGATGTTGCAGAGCAGGGATGAAAGCAGGGCAAACAGAGCAGGGACAAGATCAGGGCAAACAGAACAGGGCACAGAGCAGGGCAGACACATCAGTGAACATAGCATGGAAACAGTGCTGAGAACAGAGCAGGGACACAGAACAGGGTACAGAGAAGACGAACGGACTAGGGGAACAGAGCAGGAGAAGAGAGCAAGAGAACTGAGAAGGAAAACAGAGCAGGGAAACTGAGCAGGGGAACAGAAAAGTGGAACAGAGCAAGAGAACAGAGCAGGGCAGCCATGCAGTGAGTTAGAGCAGGAGAGCAGAGCATGGGAATAAAACAGGGAAACAAAGCAGACGAGAGTGTGCAGGGGTACAGAGCAGTGGGGACATTGCAGGTTTAAAAGAATCACCTCTTTCATCGAAGTCTCGTACATGCTGTCCCCGCCGGCCTCCCGCGCTAGTTGTCTAACTACCGCGTGCTCCAGGTGTTTCCGAACGATGCGATCTTCAACATTCTTCCAATTCGTGCCACGTGAAGGACGCTTCACAGTGGTCTTGTGGGAGTGCTCGTAACAGTTCGACGAGTACTCAGCAGGGATTCCCCGAAGACGGATGGTTGACGGGAGGTGGACGAGGAGATGAATTTTCACTATTTTCCACTTTGACTTCTGCTTAGGAAATGCAACACGCAGAGCCTTCACCATTCTGGGGAGAGACAGTCGAGAGCATGCATGCAGTTAAGGGGTGGAATGCAGGCCAGGAAGGGAGAAACGACACGAGGGAGGGCGGGTGAGGAATCATGCAGTCAAGGGAAAAAAAGGGCAGGAGGGAGGTCAAGCAGGTGGGGTATGGAAGAACAGGGATGCAAAGGGTCAAAACAAGATGAAAGGGAAGGGGGGGGGGGGGGTGGGGGAGAGCATGTAGGTACGGTTGATGCGAGGAAAATGGGTGTATGTGGCAATGAATGGCTTGGGAGCCCACACAACAACAAGAGTAACTACCTGATGGTGGCATCTTTCATCCGTTTCAGGGAATCGTCGGTGTGGTACTCAGCACGAATAAACTCCTTGTACCACTCGACCATGAGCACGATTGCCGTCCGGACATCTTTCCATCCTGGGAGATCGATGATGAGAGGCAAGACCTGCATCATCGCACGATGCTCTGAAGCTGAAAAGCAGGCAGTGGATGTAAAGTAGGCCCACGCCGAAGGCAGACGGAGCACGGAAGCTGGTGTGACCTCCTTCAACATCTTGTATCGCCTAGAGAGAATGAACGGTTCAGCATGGTGGAAAAGCAAGCAAGGAGGGGAGGAACGGTTCAGCATGGTGGAACATGCAAGCAAGGAGGGAAGGAACGGTTCAGCATGGTGGAACATGCAAGCAAGGAGGGAAGGAACGGTTCAGCATGGTGGAACATGCAAGCAAAGAGATAAGTAACGGTTCAGCATGGTGGAACATGCAAGCAAGGAGGGAAGGAACGGTTCAGCATGGTGGAACATGCAAGCAAGGAGGGAAGGAACGGTTCAGCATGGCGCGGAACAACTCACTCCAGAAGAATCTTCCGTTCTTTCGGACTCAGCTTCTTCACAAGGCACTTCATGGCATGCAGCCATATGCCCTGCTCCCAGATGTGCATGATGTCCGGGGGGACAGCGAGGTACGTGTTGCCCCAGAGAGTCTTTGCAAATTCCCAGTCCCACAAAAGGCTCTGCGTTGTGGGTCAAGGACACAGAGTCACTATGGCAGGTCGGGGTAATAGACACAAACAGCTGGCTGCGGATTGGAGTAGGTTCTCATGCACACTAGCCAGTGCACTATATGGTGTGGATGGAGGGAAACCAGATGAGATGCGCGGCAATGCATGCGGGTCAAGCTAGGCAAGGGCTACCTTCACAAAGTGAGTAGAGGTCTTCTTCTTAACCGCCTTCAGCTTCTTCGTGGTCTTTGCTGATTCCATCTCCTTGTACGCATCCTTCTGACTCTTGACAGTTCTGAGGACAATAGTGTCTTCCTGCTCATCCAGGCACTCCTTATCGGGGGGCGTTTGAGTCAACTCAAACGTCATCGCTTCGAGGTGCTCCTTATCAGCCAAGCACAACGAGCACGGATGGAGCGCGTTGCATGCCATCGTACAAGTGACCTTAGAAGACTCCGGGTGATCTGTCACCCATGAATATAGAAGCGTGAATGCTCTATATTGCACACCGGCACTGTCTTCCACCATCACACCGCCCCTGCACAGCCGCCAAGGATGAAGGGGGAAACAGGGAGGTAGAGGCGGGATGATGGGATAAGACGTCGGATATGGGAGTAACGGAGTGAACATGGGCGGCCCTAAGCAAGCAGATGAAGAACGGTTAGGAAGATGGGGACAGCAAGCAGGGAAGGCATTAACGGCATGAGATGGTGGCAAAGCAAAGTTATGACTGAATACAGCGTTGCGGCACGCATGCGAAGGAGGACAAGATGTGAACGAGGGTCAACAAAGGGAGCGGATGGAAACGTGACGGAGTGGTTGGTTTGACCAAACCAGAAGGCTAATGATGGAAACAGCGGGGTGGGATGATTATGAATAAGGATGAGGCAGAATACGTAGTACGATGACGGAGATTACTAGGGATGCGCGCCTTTGGGTGACAGTAGTGTTGACTCACCCTTTCAGATGTGAAGCCGCCATTAGATCTTTAATCATGATCTCTGCAGCGCGCTGGAACACTCGAACCTTTTCTTCCGGCGAGAGGTCAGCTGGGATATTAGGCAGAAGCCCGAGAAGCTCAGTGCCTCCTTCGAGCCACCTAGCCCATTCCGGAATGTTCCCAAAGGACAAAAGAAATGGGTGGGCGGATTGGCGCCCGTTATGTGATAGATTGGTCTGGTCTGAGAACAGAATGAGCGCTATAACTATGCCATACTTCCGCACCCTCTCCTGCCACAGTGAATGGGAAAGTGATGGAGATCTGAATTGGATCCAATGTTTCGACGGTCTTGTCAAACGCGACATGAGCTGGAACCAAACTTACCCAAGCCTCCAGCATCCAGTCCGTGTTTGCAGGGGTACTGTAGCGGCGAACCCCATCAACCTTCCACTCTTGAGGCATGATGGTGAATCCCTTGACAGCTGACATTTTCTTGAACATGGCCTGAATGAGCTGATGGTGATAATGACGGAAACAAAGATGTAAATAGACGTGAAGAAACGATGGTTCCCTTTGGTCCGATGGTTTGATCGTCATCACTAAACCCCCACCTCCACACTAAAGAACGTGACACCGCACCTGGGAGACACTCACTTTTATAGCGTTTCTGCGTTTGAAAGTGAGAAACCCAATGTCGTGATCCACTGGGATCTCCTCGACGATCCATTCGTTCGCCTCTCCAACGTCAAAGGTGTTCTCGTACTTCTCCAGGTCCCGGTAGCTGTTCCAATCGTCCAGCTGCTTTGGATCTAATTTCGGATGTCTAACTAACTGTATTGTGTCGTTAATCGCCCCGTTGGTAAGTCCGTGAGATCGTGCCAAAATGCATATTTCCGCCTTAACATCGAGAATTTCCTCTGTAGGAGCTTCTTCCACCACGAGTGTGGTGCTACACGTATGAACCGCATCAGGAATTCGCTCTGCCGGCTGGGGCTGCTGCTCTACTGCGTTCGGAAGTGCTGCTAAGGGAATTGAATGCGCTGGTGCGGGAAGGGTGGATGTTGATAACGGGACAGAGGTATACTGCTTCTCAACGTCGCGACACAGCTTCTTTCGTTCAGCAGCCTCTTGAGCCTTGCGTCTTTGGGCCCGCTTACAGCCGCCATGGTTAGCTTGATGGCTAGCTACTGTTTGATAGCAGTACACACGCTTATTACAGAACTCACAAGCCTGACCCTCCATCGAGCAGATCTGTCCGTAGGACGGAAATGGTGTTTGGCACACCAGCTTGAGACGTGAATGGTAACACTGCACCGTGGTGAGTTAGCGCCCATCGTATGGTCGATAGTTTACTGAAAGGCGAGGGAATGATTTGGCGCGCACACGAATTCGCGATCAGAGTCTGAGCATATGGTGGCCGTGACTCTGATTGGCGAATGGTCATCGAGTGTCAGTCGTTGGTTCGCAATTGCTTTGGCTTTGTGATGTATTGCTCGAAGTGTTAGGTCACACTGTTTATTGGTGCGCGACAACCGCGCAGGTAGGCGAATGGGCCTTGCGACTCTCATCATCAGCATCTCCCGGCGTAACTGGTTTCGCGAACAGCTTTCTTGTCGCAGCAAGCTGACGAGGTTTTGTACCCAACAGGAAACAAGTTGGCGAGGGTCGTTTCGGCTTGCGACATGGACCTGACATCATTTTCGCGTACACGCCAATTGTGTCAGAATAATACAAGCCGCAACAATGTCATTGGTGCAGAGAATCCTGTCAGACCGCCCAACACTGTTCACAAATTCCACCAGATATCAAGAGCACGCTATTCGCTGACGACGTATGGGAGCAGGGATCACAAAGTTGACCATCGAAGGGCAAGGGCATGTGGGTCCTCCTTCCGGAACTACAGTACAGTACCTGCTTCGTCTCTTCGTTGAGCTGGCTGGGCAACAGAATTCCGACCCTTACCTTAGGCAAGATCCTCATCAAGCCGAGTTTGCTATCTCAAGGTATGGAGGAGAAGGGCATACCCAAGTTAGGTCGATGTCGTTTCCAGCACATGAGCATGCCATCCCCGTTTGGGGGATCTCTTGAAATCAAGCCCTCAGATTACCGCACGCTGGGAAACGAGCAGTGGATCAGTGGCAAGGTTATCGAGTGGCTCTCATCGTGAGTAGCTCAATCTTGTACACAGGGCAATCTGAAGTGTTAATCCTTGTTTATAGTTTCTCACGAGCTGCACCGACTTTGCATATTTTTTATGTCGATCATGCAGAATGTTACATTATGAGTACGGACTCGACAATGCGTCGTGGCTTTGCACATCGCCTTATTTCTGGACCCTCGTAGCACGCACGGAGACGAAGAGGATCACTAGGCAGGCCTATGGACTTGACATCTTGTCGTTTAAGCACGTTCTTGTTCCGATTAACAAGGAGTATGTGGTCGGGTCTTTTTGGATATGTGTTGCACGTAAACATGTGCTGCAAACTAACGACTTTGGACGTCTCGATTGCATTGCAGCGCGCACTGGAGCCTCGCTGTCATCGAAATTAATGCCGCGCCGGAATCCGTTATCCCAATCAAGTGTTTACTGTGGCATGCGGACTCATATGCAACTCACGTCGACATTGATGGGCCATTAAGAAAGTGAGATATGTGCTGCATATGAAACGACCTTGTTGGGAACCGATGTT